AGACAGGTTTTCACCATGTTGGCCACGCTGGTCTCGAACACCTGACCTCATAATTCACCTGCCTCTGTCTCCCAAAGTGCTGGGGTTACAGGCATGAGCCACCACCCCCAGCCTGACCTCTAGCTCTTATATCTGTATTGGTAGATGACAGATTTGGGGTGAAGATTCTGGTATCCAATCTTACATGAACAATTTAACAAAAAGACAATAAGCAATTTAATTTCAATCTCAGTAGAATTCAAAGAAAGGCAATTAACAAATTATGTTTTCTTTCTTTGGGCAGGGGACAGGGTTTCACTTGTTGCCCAGGCTGGAGTGCAGTGGCGCGATCTTGGCTCACTACAGCCTCAAACTCTTGGACTCAAGCGATTCTCCCACTTCAGCCTCCTGAGTTGCTGGAACTACAGGTGTGCACCATCACACTGAGAGGAGTTAGCTAGCTTTTCCTTAGATAGATGGCAAGGGAAGGGTCCCCAGAGAGCCCCCAACCCACAGGTCAGTGCCTCATCTCCACATAACAACATAAAAAGCACCCTGGTGGAAAAAAATCAAGCTGCAAGCACCGATAAAGGAACTAGCACAGGGCGGTGGTGTGCCTGGAGACAAGCCCGCAGCTGCACAGATAGGAGAACCTCCAGCCCACTCAAACACTTGCACAAACCTCTGGCTCACTCAGATAAGGGAGCAAGACCTGCCATAGAAAGGCCTTTGTCCTTTGTATCATCAGCGGGCTCCCAGGAAGAGGTTTCTTCTCCTTTTGCAGGCATGAACACGGTGGGCTCCAGTGGGTTCCAGCAGGCACTTTCCTTTCCTTTTTGAACTGTGAGCTCGGTCTCTACTAATTATTTCAGCCCGTTTAGTCCGGGGCCAAGCTTTCACTTCTGATAGGTCCTGACAGGTCCCGGGTTAAGCTGAGTAGCCCCAATGAATCACCACTTCAGCTGATTGCTCCCGGGCCAAGCTGAATCTCTTTCTCCCAGACAGCCCGCATACTAAGCAAATTCCTTCCCCTTCAGTCCACAAAAACCCCGGACCCCAACCCCATAGTGGTAACCCATTCAGGCCCCTCCTCTCCACTGTGGAGAGCTTTCTTCTTTTGCTTATTAAACTTTCGCTTCAACCTCACCCTTGTGTTCACACTCCGGAGACAAAGAACTCCAGGTCCTATCTCAGACAACCAGAGATTGCTACATTTCAGTGCATTGGTGAGACTACACCACCTCGCGAATTTTTGTATTTTTTGTAGAGGCAGGTTTTCACCCTGTTGCCCAGGCTGGTCTCGAACTCCTGATCTCAAGCGATCTGCCCACCTTGGTCTTCCAAAGTGTTGGGATTACAGGTGTGAGCCACCACATCCAGCAGAATGTCATTTTTCACCTATCAAAATGGCAAAGATATTTTTAAAAGAAAAGACAAAATTTGGCAACGTTGAGGGAAATTGCTGCTAAGTGAATGCGTGAAAGTATTCTGAAGGCTTACATGAAATACATATTCAAAGCCTTCAACGTCTATTTGACCTAAATACCTCACTTTATATTTTTCCAAAGAAAATAAAGGTCAAATGTTTTACAGTATTTAGGATATTTCCTGCAACATTGTTTATAATAGCAAAAAATAAAATTCTAGAAAAAGCTTCAGTGTATAGCAACAAATGGTTAAATATATAATGTATAATCTTTATAATAACATGCAGTAGTTCTCTCCTTTTTTTTTGAGATGGAGCTTCGCTCTTGTTGTCCAAGCTGGAGTGCAATGTCGTAATCTCAGCTCACCGCAACTTCCACCTCCCAGGTTCAGGTGATTCTCCTGCCTCAACATCCCAAGTAGCTGGGGTTACAGGCATGCACCACCATGCCCGGCTAATTTTTTTGTGTGTATTTTTAGTTGAAACGGGGTTTCACCATGTTAGCCAGGCTGGTCTTGAACTCCTGACCTTAGGTGATCCGCCCACCTCGGCCTTCCCCAAGTGCTGGGATTACAGGCATGAGCCACCATGCCCAGCCTCTATAGGTCTCTTAACTCCACTTAACACCTTCACAAAATTCCCCAGGGCCCATCCCTCCCCATTAGCCACCTCCCATCATGTCATAGGTGGATATGCAAAATGCTGTATTGAAGGGCCGGGTAGATCTCAGAATGGCATTACAGCGTGGGGCAACAAGCTACTACTAGTACAGCACATGCTTGATTCCATAAGTTCAGCTGCATGCTTCCAAGAGATAGTTGTATTTGCTCCTGTGACTACCTCATGCCAGAGGTGCTTATTGACACTGTGATTTAAACATTACATAAACTAATATTAAAAAATTGAGAAGACAGGGTCTTTGTCACCCGGGCTGGAGTGCAGTGGCATGATCATAGCTCACTGCAGACTCAAACTCCTGGACTCAAGCAATCCACTCACCTCAGCGTCCTAAGTAACTGGAACTACAGGTGCACACCACCGTGGTCGGCTAATTTTTTAACTTTTGTACAGAGAGGGTCTTGCTATGTTTCCCAGGCTGGCCTCAAGCGATCCTCCCACCTCAGTCTCCCAAAGTGCGGGGATTACAGGCATGAGCTGCTACTGTGTCTGGCCTAAAATCTTTTTGTTAAAAATGCTTCCCACCAGTCGGGGGCAGTGGCTCACTGGTCTGTAATCACACGACTTTGCGAGGCCGATGTGGGTGGATCACCTGAGGTCCAAAGTTCGAGACCAGCCTGTCCAACATGGTGAAACCTTGTCTCTACTAAAACTACAAAAATTAGCCGAGCATGGTGGTGCACACCTTTAATCCTAGGCACTCGGGAGGCTGAGGCAGAATTGCCTGAACCCGGGAGGCAGTGGCTGCAGTGAGCCAAGATTGTGCCACTGCAGTCCAGCCAGGGCGACAGAGTGAAACTACATCTCAAA